GAGGCCGGTACACACAGGTCCCTGGGAGGCAGGAGAAGTGTTCAATGCCCATTTGTAAAGGTCCAGTCATGCCACCTCCTCCATGAAGGCTTCTGAGATTCTCCCAGTCAGATTCCTATAGGAGCCCGATTCATGGCTGTATCCACAGGCTCAGGCCCAGGCAGTGGAGCTGGGAGGGACCCTGCACTCCTCAGATGAGAAAACAGAGGCACAGAGATGGGGACTGAACATGCCTACATCACACAGGCAGTGACAGCACAACAGGGGTTTAAACACGGTACTTTTAGCTTTCAGTACAAAAGTATTTCCCCTAAAAGAGGAGTCATCTATGCCCAATATACCACATCCTGTAATCAGAGAAGTGCTGTTTGGACACAGTTGTTTCTTTCATTTTTTTTAAAAAAAATCTGATTTTGATCTGATTTTGGCAGAAGTGCCCCAGTTTACCACAGACCCCATCACTCCCTATTGCAGTATACCTGGTCAAATTCACACACTTCCACTACCTGCTTGGCCCCTGTAGGCTTTCCCTCAACATTCACTCAACAATCAAATATCTGTTGAGCATCTAATAGGTGCCAGGTACTGTTCCAGGTGCTGGGAAAACCCAGTGGAGACCAAGATAGAAGCCGAGTGCCTCTGCTCTGATAGTGCTTGCCTTCTAGTGGCACTTGCTTCATGGCCCCTGTCTTGTTCTGCACCTATTTACATCATCCCCAGCTTGGTCCGGCTTGTCTACCACCCGGGGTAAAAGAGGTTAAGGTGGGATGGAGTCATGGAAACAGCCCAAACTTGTCTTGCATTCCAGGGTTGATGACTCAGCCCATGCAACTTCGAGTTTCTTATCTTCAGTTCCCTTTATCACCTGGACTGTACTTTACCCGACTTCCCTCGAAGGGTTGTGTGAAAGTCAGATGGTGCTTGTAGACAGCAGTGGGCTCCAAACAGGGCTCGATTGTGACCCTGAGGGACGCTGAGCTTCTCACCTGTTCAAGAAGAAGTTCTGCTCTGAGGCAGGGGGCTGGCCTACATGGCTTCCCAAGACTCTCTCAGCCCAGGGGAGGGAAGGAGAAGTTCTAGGGCGCCCCCTGGTACCCCTGCCAGACCGTGAGAAGAACAACCAGGTGCCTCTTACCCATCTGGGGTCATCAGCCTGAGGAAGTGGGGAGAGGACCCCAGGGAGAGCAGGAGGAGAGGAAAGACTCCTTGGGTGGGGACATCCTCCACCCACCTGTGTGAGACGCTCAAGCCCAGGCTGTCATCTGTGGCCAGACCTCACCCCTCACTAGGAGCTCCTCATTATCTTCCAAGCTATCATAAGGCCAGCCTCTTCCTTCTCTAGAAAGAGTCTGACCCACAGCATGAAGAACAGGGGTTAGCCCCAGGGAGGGACTTCCTGGTGCGAGGGAGGGTGGCCGAGCCTCAGGATGGAAGCTTGTGGCTGCAGAGGGGGCACCGTAGCATGGCTTTGGTGGGGTCTGTCCTGGAGGGGGATGGGACGGAGGCAGATCTCAAGATGGTTCGCAACATATTGCCTGGAAAGAGTCATCGTGATTTCCTGTTTGTAGGTCTTCTCAAGGAAATAGACTGACAGGTGAAACTCCTCTGACTGCAATCTTTTATTGGACGGGCTTTCGCCAAGGTCATTCACCTGATACTTTTGGGTCTGTGGCGTTTCTTAATGGTTGTGGAAACATCATGCGAGAAACCTCCTTCCCCCTGCTTCCCCTCACCTGCAGGACTACATGGTCAAAATGTATATTTGATCCACAAATGTAAAATCGAGGGAACAGCAACACTGGGTTAATGGAACACCAGAGATTGACAATGATTGAGTACCTCAAGCACTGTGCTGAGTCCTTTTCAAGAAGCATCTCTTTAATTCTTGCAGGAATGGATGATAGGTAATGTGCCAGCTACCATCTAACTTCTGTTATTCCCATTTTATGATGTGGGAACAGAGCCACAGAGAAGTTAAGTAAATTTCCCAGGATTGCACAGCATGAGGGGCAGAGGCAGGACTTAAACCCAGGCAGCTCAGCTCCAGGGTGAATGCTCGTAGCCACCGTGCTCTCAGCCCCTCATCCACCCTGAGATGTGGGGATTATGATCATTCTCTACAGAGAAAAGGACATCAACCAAATTGCTCCATCACTCACAAGCATCGGGCAAAAAAGCCTCTTGTGACTTCCCTAAACCTATTTAGGATTAAACTGTGACAACCTGCAACCTCTGTGTCTACAGCATTCTTAGCCAAGAACATTAATCCTCACCTGCCACAAAGATAAGCAGGGTGGGGATCTGGATGCTCATGTCTCCAGCAGAAGGTGGTATGAAGCCAGGGCACCCCGTCCCTGGGCTGCACCCACCTTGGCCGCACCCTCTCTGACTTGGGTGTGCAGATGGACAAGTACTGCATGCCGGTGCTCTCCGATGGGTTCTTAGGGCTGGAAGGGGCCTGGTGACCATGGAATGATGAGATTAGTTTGCCCGGCTGGGCAGTGGGCCAGCCTCCTACCTGGGCGACCTCTGGCCTCCTTTGGTCAGCAGAGCTAGCTGGCCCGAGGCTCATTTGCCAGCGTTCTCTGCCTCTTCACGAAGGAATGACCACGACATTCCTGGCTCCTTTGTTTTGAGAGTGAGCATGAGAGGGTGTTGAGGAAGGAGGAAGATCACGTTGGCTCTCTGGAAGGTAAATTTTCTGCCTTCCAGGTTTGCATGCTCTGTCAAGCTGTGGTTAACCAGCCTGGGGCCTCTCATTCTGCTGACCTGTAGCGTGTCCCCTGGAGGCAGCCAGGGAGGAAGAGCAGCCCTGACCCACAGGCTGGCAACCTTGAGTGAGTCACTGAGGCCCCCAGAGCCTCCCTCTGTTCCCTGACGACTTTGTGGGTGAGCCCTAGGATCCCCAAGATAAACAGGAGAGGCTGCTTTGTAAACTGTAGAGTGGGAGACCCCTGTGACCCGTGATCAGTGCTGGCTTGTCAAAATGACCAGTTTATCTTAGCCCGGCTCCTTAGCCTCCCAGGAGGCTCCAAGCCTCTGTTATCTTTCCTTCCACATTGACCAAAGGTCCAGATTCCTGGACCATTTGATGCAACAGAGCTTCCCTGAGCCCCTGGGGAGATGCCCCGTGGTGCTCGCGATTGGGGCGGGGACCCAAGAGAAGGCAAAAGCAGAGCCTGTCCATGGTCCTGTGGCCCCGGAGCCAGTGTCAGGGGAGGAAAGAAGGCCTGAGAGAAGTCAGCCGGCAGCAAGGTTTCGGTTCATTTTTGTTCTTAACATACACTCTGGAAAGGCACACTTGTGATGCATGTTCACAAAGCGGACACACCTGTGTAACCACGAGCAGGAACTCCCCTGAGCCCCTTCCCAGTCTCTGCCACCTCCATCCTGACTTCCAGCACCCCAGATTGGTTTCGCCTGTCTCTGAACTGTAAGTAGATGGAATCATCCAGGGCTTCTTTCGCTCAGGTTTGTGTGTGTGAGCTTCATCCTGTTGACGTTTGTGGCTGTGGTTGGTTCATTCTCATTTCTTATATAGGATCCCATGCTGGTTCCCAGCTGATCTGTTCTGATGATGGGCCTTGGGTCGTCCAGGTTTGGGTGCACTCTGAATGCTCCAGTCCCTGTCTCTTACTGAGATTATGTACGTGTTCCTTTGTCTCTAGACCAGGAGTGGAATGACTGGGTCACAAGGTAGGCATTTGTGCAGCTGGAGTAGATACCAGCAAGAAGAATTTAAGCAGGTTGTTGGGCAGGACTTCCAGAACCTAAAGATTGCAGTCAACTACCACGTGGCCCCAGAAGGGGGTTGTAAAATCTCCTTTGGAGAACAGGAAGAAGAGGCTAGATTGGGCATCATTTGGAGGGTGGGGGGCAGTCCTCAGCTCCCTTCTGTTGGGTTTTGGTCCCCTCTCCTTAGTCTGGAGTTTCCAGACTGTACTTCCGGGAGTTGTCGGGGCCACTCGGGAGGGACAGGGTAGGGGACTTCGAGCTTCATTTCCCTGCTTCAGCCACACACTCGGGGTCTCTGTTCTACCTAGTGAGTTCTGAGAATGACTTCATGTGCTTTTTGAAAAAGTTTTTACTGTTTCGACGTTTGAAAATCCACTGCTCGAAGCCCCCTTCCAGCTGGGAAATTCTATTTTGGGAGCAGGAGGCGAGTTCGGGAAGGGTTAAGCATTATTCAACCAAAGGGCAGGGTTGGACCTCAGTGACCTTTTAAAGTTCTCATAGCGTGGTCTGTGATGCCGGAGATCTCCTAACATTCTATAAAAATAGTGTTCAAACAAAGCAACTTCCGAAACCTAAAGGATGTCATGGAAAGGCTTAACTTTGAGGAATGCGTGGGTAGCATTTCAACAAGAGTCTTGAGGGCTCCCTCCACCCAGCCCGCTCCTCTTTTTCTTTCTTTAAGATTTTATTTTTCCTTTTTCTCCCCAAAGCCCCCCAGTACATAGTTGTATATTTTTAGTTGTGGGTCCTTCCAGCTGTGGCATGTGGAACGCCGCCTCAGCATGGCCTAGATGAGCTGTGCCAGGTCCGCGCCCAGGATCCGAACTGGCAAAACCCTGGGCTGCCGAAGCAGAGCGTGGGAACCTAACCACTCGGCCGTGGGGCTGCACCCCCCCCCCCCCCTTTTCTTGTTTTTTACTTCTCCTTTGGCTGTTCTTGCTAGTAGTCACTTGGGATTATTTGGGTTCAGAACAGTTCCCATTTTTGCCAAGGAGTGGGTGACATGGGCGGCCTGTATGTCCCTCTCAAGAGTGGTGGCCTTCCCTCCTCTGACACCAGGCCTAGTTTGGACCTGTAGTTTCGCTTGGTGAGGGAAGCTGGGCTGTTCATGGGCCCAGAGAGAAACATGTCTGCCTTGGCCTGCGGCTCTGATTCAACAGGCCTGATAACCAGCCCATATCCTGGGGCCATCAAGGAACAAAGCCCTTGGCTGCTGTGGGATCTGTCTACCCTCTTCCTGAAACAGCTGTTTACTCTTTTGACAGGAGTTGGAACACAGCACCTTCTTCCCAGCCCTGCCTCCTTCTGCAGACCGGAGCTCAATAGCAATTCCTTTTGTCTTTTACTCTGCGGGGAGAGGAGCAGACGATGAGGTATGTGAAATGTTGAAATGATTTACTTCTGCGTTGTCAGGGTCATGGGGGGGATCCAGAGCAGGCTGTGGTGTGGATCCCCTAGGGGAGGAAGCTTGATGTCCCCCCAACCCCTTGCTGGTCCCCTCAGTAGTTCTGGAAGGACACAAAGTCGGTCACTCCCCGGCATCAGATCTAGAAGTGGGAGCTGGCGGGATGCTGGCTTGGGGACTTCACTGAAAGTTCTGCTTTATTTTGCTCCCCCTGGCAGGACCTCACAGGGCTTTGGCCAGCCTGGCTGTGGCCTGAGGTTTTCTCTGCAGGATTCAAAGTGACAGTGCAGGGGCAGGAGGGCGAGTCCTGGGGCCTGGGGCTGGCAGTGCAGGTGGTTGCAGAGACCTCTCAGGGCAGTGCGGCCCCCTCCTTTACCTTACCTTATTCTTCTTGGAAAAAGCCTTGCACAGTGATTTCTGGGCCAGGCCGCAAGGAAAAACTGGCTGGATCCAGGCTTCAGATTTCCTGAAGGGGATTCAAGAAAAGGCGCGATGAGATGTACCTCCGAGAACAGGTTGTTCCGATTGTGACGGCTGGAGAGACAGTCCTGTATTTAGTCTGAGACTGTCTCTTGGTCTCCTCATCTGTGTTTACTCTGACCCTCATAATGAAAAACATAATCGGAAACAGCCTTCCATGCACTTTTTTTTTTCAGGAATTGTTCCATGTTTCTTTCAAGGGGGAGCATTTCCCTGTAATGACCCATTTAGAGAGGTTTTAAGATAACACAGCACTCTGCCTCCTCAACCCCAGCACCCTCCCCATGCCAAGAGCTGGGCCTGGGAGGCAGAGGGTCTGCTTTTCAAACTCGACCCCCCTTCTTCTGAGCCCAGTGACTTCAGCCTTTGCTGAAGCTCAGTTTCCTCAGCTGAAAAGCCACTGCTCTGCCCCTGATGAGGGATGACGGAGATGGGGTGAGTGAGAAAGGCCCACACCATGCACACCAGAGGGCTTGAGCCAATGCTCGCCAGCTGGTCCAAGGAGAAGCTAGCCCCTCAGGGAGTCCACCCCGTGATTGGCTAGTTTTGGGTCAGTCTCTGTGTGATAATTGTGAGAGGCAAAATGAGAAGATGTGCCCAAGAGACCTGGGTGATTAGTCCATGGATAAGCCTTCATGTTTACTGAGAACAGAGTGCCTGAAAGGGTGGGCACTGGCGGCTGACTGCCTGGACCTGAATCCCACCTCCACCACTTTATGTCGTGTGACATTGGGCAAGTTACTTAACCTTTCTGCGCCTCCGTTTTCCTATCTGTAAAAGGGGGGTAATACTAGAATGACTTCGCAGGGTCGTTGTGAGAGTTAACTGAGAGACTGCTGTGTTTAGCCCCGGGCCTGACCTGGCTCAGTTGGGGAACATTCAGGTGTTGCAGGGCCTGAAGCTTACTCAATTTTCAGGACCGTCTTTAAGAAAAAGAATGCAAAGTTGCCTATACAGTATTAGGCGTGGAAGCGAATATTTAGAATATGAGAAGAGAGGGCACAAGAGATAACAAAAACTGACGAATTCTCCCAGTAGGAGATCCAGAAAACAACATGATAATAAAAGGATGTGAAATAAGAAATTGATTAGTATTACTTAGCTGTTTACTGCACCTGCCACATTTTGGATGCCTTCTCTTGGACTGCCTCTTTATCTGACAGTGATTTTGTAGTAACATTTTCAATGGAGACAAAAGAAAGAAAAATCAGTTTTACCCCTAGCTGGTTAATCAGCAGTTACTTTTTATTACTGAGAGTTTAGAAAGGGTTCTTTCGGCTTCACGACTTGTTATTGGCGATGCCACATCTGTAAATCTTTTGGCAGTTTCTTGCTCAGGTGGCTCTGGCCAGAGGGCTGGAGAACTCAGCTCTTTGGTCCTGGATGGGGTGGGGGATGTGGGCACGAGGTGGCTGCGAGGGCTGGGTCATCAGGACCCCTAAGCAGGGAGCAGAGCTGCGTCTAGTTCAGCTCCTTCTCCTGGGGATCAAACGGGAGACTCCTGGGTGCTCAACAAGGTCCACCTGGGGCAGGTTGTTACTGGGACCCAGGTGGGTGTGCAGGCAGCGGGGTCAGTCCCTCAGCCCCACCTGCAGCCCCAGGACAGGCACCAAGGCTGGAGTGATTCCCTCAGGGGCAACAGCACTCCTTGCCTCTGGGAAGCATTGGGGTTTTATCCAGCACCCCCCTCCCCACCCCCACCCCCAATGGTGAGATCAGGCCCAGTCTTGCAAGGGGGCCTGACCCTAGACTGCACTAACTTCTGTGTAAGTTGGCCTCTGGGCGCAACTCAACTGGTATTGGTTGGTCGTCCTATCACTTGATCATCTCTTCCAGGAACCCACGCGGGCCATTGCAGCAATGTGGGCCCCCCATGGCTGAGTGCACTGCCCTCGTCAGCTGGGACTCCAGCTCCGTGGATGAGTTTTCATCCATGTCCTGGGTCCATCATTAAAGCCTGTCAGGGAAAGTTAAGCCCGAAGGACTTGTTTCACGGACGGGGAGACTGAGGCCAGAGAAACCCGTGCCCCCAGGTTAGAAAGCCGGCTGTGTATGGGAGCTGGGGCCGACCTGCAGGTCTCCTACAGCCGTGAACCTCACCCTCCTTCCCTGCCCACCTTGAGCAGCAGGCACTGGGGACCAGTGTGACGAGCAGCTGGGCCCTGAGCTGGGAGCAGTGGGGAGGGGAGCTGAGTATCACACGGTCACAGTGTCGGGGGTGGGCTCACCCTCCACTCTTCATGTGATGCTGCCCTGGAGGTCCAAGACTCTTCTCTCAGGTGAAGCCACAGCTCTGCCTTCAGAGCCTGAATTTCTGAGTCTCTCCTGGGAAAAAGCATCATCATCATGTGGCTGCCATGTGTGGAGCATTCACTGACCACTGGGCAATGAAGCACCCTGTCCTTTTGTCCTTTCAAGAACCCTATGAGGAGGGTGTTTGTAGTGCCATTTTGCATGTGTAAATAAAGGCTCAGAGAATGTGCCCCAGCCATACAGCTGAGACTGCTGTTTTAAGGGTCTTAGGGCTGGCCTAATTTCCACCTGGAATACTGGATCTAAACATTACGGTGGAGGACTAAAGATAAGAGCTTGGTCTCAGGTCATTAACACCCAGTTAGTTCCTGCGCCCTCCTCCGCCTTCTTACCTGCTATTTTCCTTTGAAGCACCTGTGTATCCTTGACCCGCCTCAGTAGTCCAGAAGTGACCAAGGCTTGAGCCAGCAGGGCCAGCTCTGCGGGGAGGAAGGGACAGAGTCCAGGGCCTGGGGGAGGAATCACAGGCTAGCAGGAGGATTCTTTAGGCTGCTGGAAGGCTTGGTTTCCTCTGCCACTGCTTTCCCCCTGCCCGATTCCCGTTCTCCCGAGATAATGGCTTTTCCAGGGCTCCTGAGTGCTCTGTTATTCAGCTGAGACGTTCACCTTTTTTCCTGACATGAGATGGAGAAAACAAGGGCCACTAGAATTCCTTTCAGAGAGGAATTCTGTTTGGAAGGAACACCTTGTCTTAGCCCAGTTGGGGTGGAGCTATGAGATTCTCTGAAGGATGTGTGTGTACTGTTCTGTGTGGGACAGGTAGGGGGGGTAAGGAAGAATTAATTTCTGAGCCACATGGATGTCTGTCTGACACTCCAGGGAAACAGAAGCAGAAAAAGAGGAGAGGGAGGGTAGAGCAGGAAGGTGACCCTGCCTTGCAAAATGCCCCAGGTTGTTAGCACAATCTGCACACGGTCCTGGAGGGGTGTGCGAGTGGTTTCACCTGGGAACTGTTACAGGGGCTGAGTTGTGGGAGTGGCCCAGGAACATCCCCTGGGGTTGGTAGGATGGATTCAGAGAGAAACCACAAGCCCCATGATAAGAGGGCCTGAGAGATGGTGGGAGGGCTCCCATGGAACCAAGCCTGGCTACGTTCACCAGGTCCTTTGAGGAGTGGGCCCCAGGTTACCTGGAGTTACATTTTCCTGCATGAGACATGGTGTTAATATTCGGCAGGGCCTTATTCTGTGCTCTACCCCTTAAATGGGGAATTTAGAAGCAACTTCATACGTAGCCAGAGCAATCAGGCAAGAAAAAGAAATAAAAGGGATCCAAATTGGAAAAGAAGAAGTGAAACTGTCACTATTTGCAGATGATGTGATGTTATATATAGAAAACCCCAGAGAATCCACTAAAACACTTTTAGAAATAATAAATGAATACAGTCAAGTTGCAGGATACAAAATCAACATGCAAAAATCTGTTGGGTTTCTAAACACTAAAAATGAAGTAGCAGAAAGAGAAATTAAGAATACGATCCCGTTTACAATTGCAACAAAAAGGATAAAATACCTAGGAATAAACTTAACCAAAGAGGTGAAAGATCTGTACACTGAAAACTATAAAACATTGTTGAAAGAAATTGAAGAAGACACAAAGAAATGGAAAGATATTCCATGCTCTTGGATTGGAAGAATTAACATAGTTAAAATGTCCATACTTCCTAAAGCAATCTACAGATTCAATGCAATCCCGATCAAAGTTCCAACAACATTTTTCACAGAAACAGAACAAAGAATCCTAAAATTTATATGGAACAACAAAAGACCCCGAATAGCCAAAGGAATCCTGAGAAAAAAGATCAAAGCTGGAGGTATCACACTCCCTGATTTCACAATATACTACAAAGCTATAGTAACCAAAACAGCATGGTACTGGCATAAAAACAGACATACAGATCAATGGGACAGAATTGAGAGCCCAGAAATAAACCCACACATAAATGGACAACTAATTTTTGACAAGGGAGCCAAGAACATACAATGGAGAAAGGAGAGTCTCTTCAACAAATGGCGTTGGGAAAACTGGACAGCCACATGCAAAAGAATGAAAGTAGACCATTATCTTAGACCATGCACAAAAATTAACTCAAAATGGATTAAAGACTTTAATGTAAGACCTGAAACCACGAAAATTGTAGAAGAAAACATAGGCAGTATGCTCTTTAACATTGGT